GATTTTCACAAGGGAAAGTCTGAGTATGAAGAGATTCTGCAGTGCAACAACCAGCCATCCAGTGCCACACCCCGTTGGACATCAGTCACCTACAACTTTCCTCGTCATGGCTTCTGGCCTAGATAAGCATGGAACAGATTCTGAGAAACCCCTGCACTATTCTCACATTGATATACTGGATCCTCTGGCCCATTTCCTGGAATATCCTCTGGGTCACCAGTGGTTGCCCTGGCTGCAAAATATGTGCTAAGCCGTATTTGAACAGCTGATGGAAAGCAGAAAGGCCCATGGAGATCAGAAATCTTCTGTTATCAAAGAGACCATGCACTGTCATAGGATATCCAATAGTGGGCTATATAGCTTCATTTGAATTGTGAACTAAACATGAATTTTTGGTATAGATCAGTCAGTGAGGCTCTCCTAGAACTGAATGCGGAAACATTTACCAGTACTCCAAAATTTCTGAGGTAGGCAAATGAAGTAGTTATGGTATTTCGGTACACAGTTCTTGTGTTCTTTTTGTTCTATTTGTGCAATGTGCAGGAGTGTGGGGGTTTGTCAGGCAGAGGAACTCAGGAAAAGTGAGAGTATAGACAGAGGGACCCAAGAGTGGTAGAGTTGGGGGGGGGGGGGGGGGGGAGGTGTGATGATGTGATGATACTATGGCTTTAAGAGGTATATTTGCTTCTGGTTTTCTTTGAAGAGAGGTTTTGAGCCATAGGTGACAAGCTCTCTCCTCCAAGCTGATAAAGTAAACAGCTTGGAGGTCTTTGGGTTTCTTTTAAAAATGTTGGAACACTAGAAGCAGCATGAATGATAAGAGTCAAGCTCCCACAGAATCAGGGTTTTAATTTGACTTTCAGTAGTTGTTGGGGTTTTGATGCTGCCATACATCTCTCCCTGCTACAGCAAAACACTTGAGTTCTTGCTCTCTGTCAGAACTTTCTCTTGATGCTCTTTCTTCCTCGACTGGAGAAAAATTGCATGTAAGACAATCTCTTTTACTGAACTTGCCTTTACCAAATGGTGTGTTTATGGAATGTTACTGTATTGGAACAGTTACTGCTTCGTAGTGAAATACTCTATTATTCTGTTAAGTTTTCCAATAGAGTTAAGTTATTCAACTCTTATTTCTTCTGTTTTTGTTTTAACTTGCAGGGGAAGAACAAAGTGAGCTCGGGTCGTGGTTGGTTTGTTCGCCGAGCTGGTTCCTTAGTTTGCAGATGTTTCATTACCCTGCTGGGTAACATCATCAGTGCAGCTTGCATCGAGGCGCTGTTGTGTTTTCCCGCCTGGTATTTAAACTCTGGGGGCCGTTGGATTTGATTACCTCATTTCCGGTTTTCCTTTGCAGTGGTGTATACATAGGGCTTAGTTTATGTGTTTGTTGATGGCTTTCTTGGTGGAGAACCAGGCCTCTAGGAATTCCCGTGCTTGTCTCTGTTTGGCCTGTCCTAGGATCCTGGTGTTGTCCCAATCCAACTGGTAGTTCTCCTTATCCATGTGAATGGAGAGGAGTGGGTATTGGTTGTGTCTTTTTGTTGCTAGTTGGTGTTCATGTATTCTTGTGGCCAGTTTTCTTCCTGTCTGTCCAAAAAATGTTTGTCGCAGTCCTTGCATGGAATTTTGTATACTACATTGGTTTTGTCCATAGTGGGTAAGGGGTCTTTGGCTCGAGTTAGCAGTTGGCGTAGGGTTGACGTAGGTTTGTGTGCTACTCTGATGCCCAATGGTCGTAGGAGTCTTGTGGTCAGTTCGGATATGTTCTTGATATATGGTAGTGTGATGAGAGTGTTAGGGCTTGCAGCAACTTCCTGTTGTTCGTGAGATAGGCATTGTCAGATCCAGTTGTTCAGATATCCGTTGTCCTTAAATACTTGGTGGAGGTACAAAAAGAAGAGGTACTCTTCATGCAAGAATAATGGATACCCGAACAACTGGATCCGACGATGCCTATCACACGAACAACAAAGCTACAGTCCCTTTTATTCTATGAACTATAAATTTTCTTACAAGTTGTATTGTATGCCTTTTGGAAGGCCATATATACCACATCATTGCCTTGTTTGCCTCAACCCTTTCTGTTGCCTCTTGAAGAAAACTCCATGCTGTCTCTTCTGAATCATACACATTTTTCCGTATGACCATTAATCTTATAACCAAATAATTGTTTCTAGAAATTTCTCCAGCACCAAAAGGTTAAACTACTGGTCTGTAATTGCTGAGCCTATCTTCAATTTCAATTTTATTTTCAGGAACAAAATGTTATTTCATTCCCGTAAATTATATTTTCTATCAGTATGGCACAATTACAGCCTGATACCCAGAAGATTGTCATAACACTGGAGAGTGAAAGAGGAATTTATTAGTGATCAGGGATCAGCTACAAACTTAAGTTTTACAGAAATATAAGAAACTACATTTGTTGAGGAAATCATTATCTGTCTGATCCTTCAGCCCATCAGGTCTCTTTCCTCCAGCTGCCCTGTTCTGAGCCCTCATCCCCATCACCACCTTCTGTTGCTGTTCATGATTATGTGGTTGTGCCACAAGCCTAATAGACCACAGTAAGATGGGAACATTGGATTCATACTATGACCACACACAGATTGTCCCCCCAGTGCAAATCATCTAGAGAAGCTGCTGAATGAAGCGAAGAAATTGCTTGTGAGAACCAGAAATTATGTGTGCAAGACAATAGTGGGCACTGGGGGGAGGGATGAGGAGACAGTCACCCCAGTTTACTATTTATATATCTACTCATTGTTACTTCAATAGCAGAATAAGCTTTTGGGTGAATCTATAGAGAAGCAAAATCAGAATGGGAATGCTTCTTTTTGCATGATTGCATACTTTTCCTCAACTTAGACTTTGACAACATTGCATCAACTTAAAAAAATTAGGCCCACACCAAGTCATACCATGAGCTTTTCAAATGTAATTCATGTAACATTAATGTAAGGATGCAATAATGAAGAAAATAGACGGCCATGCGTTAGATCATGATTAAACTTAAAGAAATAATTTGATAATTGTTTAATTGTACTGTGTGCAAACATCATCGAAACATTATTTATTTTCAACCCCCATTTTCTATGGCTTTATTATTAAAAAGTTCTCTCAGCTGCCTGTGTTGTATTTTGATGTTCAGTGATGTAACAAGACCTATGATTTAGCACCTTCTACAGGAAAGTTTTAGTATTACAGAAAGATTTGCCATATTTTCGGGACATGGAAAGCTATATTTTAATTTGTTAATTTCATTAAGGTTTATACAAATAAGTAATTTCACATTTAACAAAATTAAAGTAGCGGAGGATATATTTAAGGTACAGAAATCAATTAATTTAACTCATTTGTGCAGTGGTACTAAAGAACACAAGAGTCTGATATCTTTTTCAGTGATTAAATCTTCCCATCTATATTAATATTAGGAATTTCCTTTTCCGTAGCTATGTATCAGTGCTTTCAGATGTCATATCTACTAATAATTTGTGGAGAGCTATATGTTGGCACTGAACTGCTGCTTCCGAGTGTCTTGATCTGAACCATGCGTACCACAGTTAGAGGGCATCTCCTCCGAGGCCTCGATCGAACTGAATGTATGGCTATATTAAGTTTCAGAATCTTTCTGCAGTAATTATCAGATATAAAATCTCATAACCCTTAATCCCATAAAGAATCAATCCTATGATCTCTGGCCTAAGAAAACATTAGTGCGTGTATGGAATGAACTACCAGAGGAAGTGGTGGAGGCTGGTACAATTACAACATTTAAAAGGCATCTGGATGGGCATATGAATAGAAAGAGTTTAGAGGGATATGGGCCAAACACTGGTAAATGGGACTAAATTAATTTAAGATATCTGGTTGGCATAGACAAGTTGGATCGAGGGGTCTATTTCTGTGCTGTACATCTCTATGACTCTATGTGCAGCTATAGCGTCCCAAGTCTAGCATCCTCAGTATCCAGAGCATACAATATTTGGATCTTCCCAGGTTTTGAAAGAGCCATCCTCATGTAGGCTGTTCCTACATATATTGATGTCATAAAATAACTAGGCTGGGGAGCACTTATTATGAGCAAAAACATTGAAAGTTTTAAAAATTGAAATGGGAACATTTCTAAGGGTCTATTAATCTTACAGTGAAGTGATCCTTGCAGGAAAGAATATTCACTTGAATAGCAATAATGGGGACAGAGAGAAGTGGCTGATTTCTGACACACTCCCTTGAAAGCAGCTGGGAATGTTGCAATCAGATTTTTCCTGTCAGTGGAACAGACAGCTGTGTGTTTGGAGAACAGAGAGGACTAGGGAAGCAGGTCCTAAAGTACTGCAACGGAGTCAGATCTTGTTTAATTCCACTCTCCCAGAATAGTTCAAATTTGGTCTTTTCATTCCTGTATTTGCTATGAGAATAAATGCCCAGTTTTGCATAGCCAGACTTCAGACACTGTATCTATACCTTACATAAAAGTTGACCATATTTTTCCAGGTATCAAACTCTGAGAATTTTGTAAGTGAAGCATAGTCCTGGAGATTTTAATGATTCAATTTGTAAATACTAATGAAAATGAGTGCCAAGAAGTAAATGAGGAGTTATTTAACAAAAGTGTGCAGTAAAAAGCTACTTCAGACTCGGGCAGTGAAAAGCATTCAACGGGGAGATCAAAGTGGGTTAGACTAAACATGCTCCTACAAAGAAAAAGGATGGAACGTCAAAATCTCGAGATTCTTGAATGTGAAGTAGTTTGTAGCTTAAGGTAAGGCAGAAAAGGAAAGCTCATTTCCAAGACAAGTACTTTCTACAGAAAACTGGGAAGGTATGGCAAGTAAAGAGGTGAAATCAAACAGGAAATTGGGAAAGCAAAGAGATGGCATGAAAGAATATTGTCAATTAAAATCAAGGAGAACCCAAGGATGTGTTTTCAATACACTAAGATCAGAGGATAACTAAGGAAAGAGTAGGGTTCATAAAGGACCAAAAATGTAACCTACACGCAGATGCGGAAGTTGCTGTTCAAGAATACTTTGTGTGTCTTCATGGGCAATGCAGACACTGTAATTAAAGAGATAGAATGTGAAGTTTTTGATTTGATAAACGTAGAAAGATAAACATTGAGGCATTAACAGTACAGCATTCTTAAAGGTAGATAAATTTTCAGGGTTGGATGAAATGCAAAGAAGCTGAAGAGGAAATAGTGGAAGGTCCAACCATCATTCTTCCAACTTCATTGGATATAGGTGTGGTGTTGGAGAACTGAAGGACTGGCCAATCTGTTAAACTTCAGTAGTGGGCAAATTATTGGCAGTGATTCTGAGAGACCAGATAAAAAGTTGCTTATAGAGATTAAATCGAGAACAGTCAACCTGCCTTTGCCATGGGAACATCACGTCTGACTAACTCTATTGATTGAGGAAGTGAAAAGGAGAATTCATAGGATAGTGTAGTTGATGTGATTTACATGGATTTTAGCTATTTTTTTGACAAGATCCCACATGAGAGACTGGTTAAAAACATGAAAGCCCCTGGGATCCTGGGGAATGTAGCAAGCTGTATACAAAATTGACTACAGCAGGAAACAAAGGGTAATTATTGATGATTATTTATGCAACTAGAGGTTGTATAGGGGGCATGTTTCAATAAGAATGACCACCACACAATCCTTGAGGAGACAAAGTCCCAACTTCACATTGAAAATACACTATGTTGTGCTATGTGACATGGTCATTACAGTAAATGAAGAGACTTTGAATTGATCTAGTAACTCAAAACTGGACATCCACTGTAGTCCATCATCCTCAGTAGAATCATGGTCCAACACAACTTGCAACCTCGTGGCCTAGCATATCCCCAATTCTACCATTACCATAAGCCAGGGGAAATTGACCCTAGTTCAATAAAGAGTGCAGGAGAGCTTGCCAGGAGAGCACCAGGCATAACTAAAAATGAGTTGTCAACTTGGTGATGGTATAAAACAGAATGGCTTGCATGCCAAACAACATAAAGAGCAAGTAATTGATAAACTAAGCACTAAACAACTCGCTACAGGAAGAGATTCTTCAAATATCTTCAATGATGGGGAGCCTAGGAAACCAGTGCAAAAGACAGTCCCAGGCTGCTTGCTCTTGCCACCTTGCAGCCTGTTCCTGCTACCATCACTGCCATGGGCTGCCTGCTGTTGCCACCAGCTGCCTCTGGCTGCCTGCTCCTACTCTTGCCACCAGCTGGCATGTCAAGCGTGACTTCCTTTTTGTAAATCCATACTGATTGTATTTGATTCTACTGCGGTTTTCTAATTGCTGTGCTATAAAATCCTTTTATAATGGACTCCAGCATCTTTCCCTCCATTGATGTTGGATCACTGGTTTATAACTCCCTGTTTTCTCTTTACCTCCCATCACAGATGCCTGGCTTGAGTCAATTTGATTCACTCCAAGTCATATCAAAAGACAGTTGGTAGCACTGGATACAGCAAAGGCTACGAATTTTGATAACATTCCAGCAATTGTAATGAAGACTTGTGGTCCAGAACTTGTTGCACCATCCAGCCAAGCTGTTCCAGTACAGCTACCACACTAGCATCTTCCTGACAACGTGGCACAAATTACCCATGCATGCTTCGTACACAAAAAGCAGGACAAAGCCAACCTGGCAAATTACCATCTCATTGATCATCAGTTAAGTGATGGAAGGAATCATCAACAGTGCCATCAAGCAGCACCTGCTCAGCAACATCCAGTTAGGTTCCATCACAGTAATTCAGCTCCTGACTTCATTACAACCTTGGTTTAAATATAGACAAAAGAGCTGAATAACAGAGGTGAGGTGAGAGTGATTGCCCTTGACATCAAGTGCATTTAACTGAGTATGGCATCAAGGACCTCCAGCAAAACTGGATTCAATTGGAATCAGGGGGACAACTCTACACTGGCTGGAGTCATACCCGGCACAAAGGAAAATGGCTGTGGTTGTTGAAGGTCAGTCATCTGAGCTCTGGGCAGAAGTTCCTCAGTGTAGTCTCCTGGGCCTAACCATCTTCAGCTGCTTCATCAATGGCCTTCCTTCCATCATAGGGTCAGAAGTGGGGCTGTTCATTGTGCAATCATCAATGTTCAGCACTATTTGCAACTTCTCAGATACTGAAGTAGTCCACGTCCAAATACAGCAAAATTTGAACAATACCCTAGCTTGCGATAAAACTGGCAAATAATATTCACACTACACAAATGCCAGATAATGACCATCTCCAGTAAGAGAGATTTAACCATCGCCCCTGACATTCAATGGTGGTACTACCACTGATTTCCCCACTATTAACATTCTGGGTGTTACCATTGACCAGAAACTGAACTGATCTAGCCATATAAATACAGTGGTTACAACAGCAGATCAGAATACTGCAGCAAATAACTTACTTCCTCACACCGTAAAGCCTGCCCACCATCTGTAAGGCACAAGTTAGGAGTGTGATGAATTGCTCCACCCATTTGCCTGGATGACTGCAGTTCCAACCACACTCAAGAAGCTTGACCTCATCCAGGGCAAAGCAGCCTGCTTGATGTGCATCACATGCACAAACATCCATTTCCTTCGCTGGTGCTCAGTAGAAGCAGAAAGATGGCACACTCTGCTTCTACAAGACACAGAAATTCACTAAAGCACCTTAGACAGCATCTTCCAAACCCATGCCCACTAAATCCAGAAGGACAAGGGCAGTAGATTCATGGGAACACCACCATCAAGTCTTTTTTCAAGCCACTGACTATCCTGACTTGGAAATATATTACTATTCCTTCACTGTCATTGGGCAAAATCCTTGAATTCCTTCCTTAAGGGCGTTGTGAGTCTAACTATAGCACATGGACAGCAGTGGTTCAAGATGGCAGCTCACCGTCACCTTCTTAAGGGCATATGGGATAGGCAATAAATGCTGGTTGTGTCGGTAACACCCAAAAACGCCGAAGATAAGTGTGATATAAAAGCATGGATGAAGGATTGCTAGTGGATAGGAAGAAAAAGTAGGCAAAGGTGGGCATATTGAAGTTGGCCAGCTGTGAACAGCAGAGTGCTGCAAGGATCAGTAGTAGTTGCAACTATATACATTGTAAAGTTATTACTTAGATGAAGACAGAGGTCATGTTCCTAAGTTTTCGTACAATAAAAAGTTGGCGGGAATGTAAAATAGCAAGCGCAGGCAGGTGAGACTAACTTAGTTTGGAAACACAGTCAGCCTGGACTGGTTGGACCGAAGGGTCTGTTTCTGTGCTGTATGACTCTATGACAAGGTGGGCACAAACAGGCAGCCAAGAGACATAAACAGATTAAGCGAGTGGGTAACAAATTGGCAGATGGAGTATAATGGGCAAATAGGAAATGATTAGCTTTGGTCATAAGAATAGAAAAACTTCTTTTAAAAACAGCATTAAACTTCCAAATGTTCATGTTCAGTGATACTTGAGTGTACTTGTACAAGGAACACAAAGTTAGCATACAGGTATAGCAAGCAATTAGGAAGGCAAATGACATGTTGGCCTTTTTTGCAAGGAGGGGTGAATGCAAGAATAAGGAAGACTGCCTTTAACTGTCCACACCAGTGAGCAGTTCGAGACTCCTTTTTTTTGGGGGGGGGTGAAGGATACACTTGTGTAGAGATAGTATGATGAGAAACTGGTTAAATGAGTCTATTTTCTCTGGGGTTTAACAGAATGAAAAGTGACCTCATTGAAACATTCAGTTTTCTGAAGGGACTTGACAAGCTGACAGAGACTTATTTGTCCCTACTGAAGATTCTGCAACTAGAAAACACTGTCAGGAAGAGGCTGCTCATTTAGCATTGAAATTTCTTTAAAAAGTTAACTCTTAATAGTCTTTGAGATTTTCTACCCTGGTGGTTGTGAATGTTTCATTGTTGAATTGCTTTAAGGCTGGGATATACAGATTTTTGGTTTCTCAGGAAATTAAGGAACATGGTGAACAGGCAGAAAGTGGCATTGAGACCAGAGATGATTCATAACAGTACTGAATCGAAAAAGAAAACACTCTTGTGCGGTCCATTCCTCCTTGTTTTTCATATCCTTGCCACAGCCTTTGACACTTGCCCATGGTGTCTCCAGTTTTACCAGACCATAGGGCTGCTCTCTCATCAGAGTGATTAGTGATTTAACCTGAGGGCCACAACAACTCAGCCGGTGATGGGAATTGAACGCACGCTATTGGCATCACACTGCTTCGAAAAAAAAAGCCAACCGTCCAACAAAGTGAGCTAAACTGACCTCTAAACTTACTTATACCAACCTTTTCTAATGTCCAGCCGAGTGGAGACACCTCACTCACTAACACTTCTCCTTCCCCAGCAATAGCTCTTCTTGAATCTCGACACCTTGAAATCTAGAATCCTGTCCTGGAAAACTGGTTCTTTTTTCCTAAGCTCCCTTGCCCTGGTAGCATCACCTGTAGAGATAAGGTCAGCTTTCACGTGGATCCTGGCTACACCCGCCTCTACTTCCACACAAATACATTCTCAGCTACTCTTCCTTCTGACTCCGCCTTAGTGAAACGGGACAGATCGAGGAAAGGCCCGTCACACTGACCTCATGTTTGCCGACCATACTTGTGTACTCAAATGATAAAGAACTGCCCGCGACCATATTCGGGAATAGCCGGTGACCCCCGACCTCCTCACTCCATGTCTAGGAACTGGCGACATGTTTTCCCCGCACGTTGCTGGGGAAGTGCAACGTTCAGCGGTTGGGGCCCCCAACAAACATGGCCGCCAAAAGGTCAAGGGCATGCGCAGATCGTGCGGGTGACGCCTGATCGCGAGCCGGCGGGGCTCGGACTGCGGAGGAAGGAATAGTGGGGGAATGGAGAATGGGTGTCTCGGGGGGGGGGGCGGGGGGGGGCGGGGCGAGCGTCTGGGAGCGGGGCCGGGCGTCCGGGGCTTTGGGGGCGGGGCCGGATATCTGGGGGCGGGGCCGGCGGCTCCGCGCAGCGCGATCACGGTCACCGGGGGAACGCACGGCGGCCCCGGGAAATGGAGGCTGGGTTGGAGGAGGCGGAGCGCTGTATCGAAGCCGCGCAGCATTGCTTGAAGTGCGGTGAGCAGGAGGAGGCCCTGCGGTACCTGTACCGGGCGCAGCAAAGCTATCCCACCCAGCGGGCCAAAGGTAACAGCATCCCGGGGCAGTACAGGGGTTTGTCCTGGCCTCAGCCCAGGCCCTTCTCTGACACACGGGATTATTCAATGCAGGAGAATGGGGGGGTGAATGTCGTTCTAGGAAGGGTCAGAAATTACGGGACACCAATTTATAGTCCAACAGGTTTAGTTGAAAACATTATCTTTTGGAGTGTTGCACCTTCATCAGGTGTAGTGAGAGAGGCATTGAATCCTGCCTTCTCTCAGGATCTCCATCTCCTTCCCCACAACACAGAATTGTCACTGTCCCTTCGTGTAGTCCATGAGATTGGTCACCATTAGCCAGGAACTGAATTGAACCACATGTACAAATAATGTGGGTACAAGAGATGGTTGCAAGAGAATTCTGCAGCAGTTAACTAATGTTCTGCATCCCGAAGCTCCTGTATATTAAGGGGGACACAAGTCAGGAGTGTGATGGAATGCTCTCCATTTGCCCGGATGTGAGCCGCTCCAACAATAATCAAGAAACACACAGCAAAAAGTCATACAACTGATGTGAATGCATTGAATAAACCTAAAACAGGTGGCTGACTCCCTACTGTTTAATCTTTAATCAGTTAGAAAGGAGATCCAGGTTTTGATTGATTTAAAATGCAAATCCCAGAATTTCTTTCAAGTCACTGATGCTTTATCAGTGTATACAAGAGGTGAAATCATAGAATCCCTACAGTGTGGAAACAGTCCCTTTGGCCCAACAAGTCCACACTGACCCTCAGAGCATCCCACCCAGACCCATCCACCTAATCTATACATCCCTGAACTCTATGGGTAGTTTAGTATGACCAATCCACCTAGCCTGCACATCTTTTTGACTGTGGGAGGAAACCAGAGCACCTGGAGGAAACCCACGCAGACACGGGGAGAACGTGTAAGCTCCACACAGACAGTTGCCTGAAGGTGGAATCAAACCTGGGTCCCTCATGCTGTGAGGTAGCAGTGCTAACCACTGAGCCACCATGCTGCCCCAACCACTGAGGTCGGGTAATGCGTTTAAGGTGTGAGGCCTTTTTTAGAATTTGTTTGAGTTTTAACCTGGAGTCAGACTGGTTTTATTTTCACTAAAGGCTGTCTCGTAACTCAAGCTGTTGGATGACCTGGCATCACAGTATAGGTTGATATTTGCTGATTTTGTTTTTTAGCAAGTTCCATAATTATTGTTGCATTTTGAAATCAAAGTCAATTTTAAAAGTTTGACAGCTATTTGATATTTTTTACAATTGGATAAATAGATTTGGAAAAAATTATAAACATGAGACTCTTCAGATTTCTTTTATGGATTCATTCTCCTTCTTGAACTCCATCAGCGCTACAATTTACTAAGACCTCTGTGTCCTCCAATTGTACCTATCCACATTTTCTTCACTCTACCATTGGTGACTAACTTTAAGCCCTAAACTCTGGAATTGGCTTCCTTTTACCTCTCTACATCTCTGCATCACCCCCTCCTCAAAATCTACCTTGTTGATCAAGCTTTGGATTGCCGTTGACAAGATTCCACATGATAGACTGGTCAGTAAAATTAGATCATGTGGAGTCCAGGAAGAGCTAGCCAATTGGCTTAGAATCCCTGCAGGGTGGAAGCAGGCCATTTGGCCTATCAAATCCACACTGACCCTCTGAAGAACATCCCACCCAGATCAACCCCCTACCCTATTTCTGTATTTCCCACCCTAAACACTTTGGGCAATTTAGCATAGCCAATCTACCTAACCTGTACATCTTTGGACCGCTTGTTGGTAGGAGACAGAGGATGATGGAAGAGGGTTATTTTTGGAATGGAGGTCTGTGACCAGCAGTGTTCTGCAGGGATTGGTGATGGGTCCACTGTTGTTTGTCATTTATGTAAACAGTTTGGATGAGAATATAGGAAGCATGGTTAGTATGTTTGTGGATGACATGAAAATTGGTGGCAAAGCGGAAAGTGAAGAAGAGTGCAATGGGATCTTGATCAGCTGGGCCAACAGGCTGAGGAGTAGCAGATGGAGTTTAATTTAGGTAAATGCAAGGTGTTGCATTTTGGTAAAGCAAACCAGGGCAGGATTTACACAGTTAATGGTAAGGTACTAGGGAGTATCATCAAGCAGAGAAATTGAGGGGTTTGGTACATAGTTCCTTGAAAGTGATGTCACAGGTAGACAGGGCAGTGAAGAAGGCATTTGGCGTGTTTGCCTTAATTGTCAGAGCATTTGAGTTTAGGAGTTAGGTTGTCATGTTGCAGTTGTACAAGACGTTGGTGAGACCACTTTTGGAGTACTGCATACAGTTCTGGTTGCCTTGTTATAGGAAGAATATCGTTAAATTGGAAAGGGTACAGAAAAGATTTAAAGGGATGTTGCTTGGACTGAAGGGCTTGAGTTATAAGGAGAGACTGGATAGGCTGGACTTTTTTCCCTGGAGAATAGGTGGTTGAGGGGTTACAGAGGTTTATAAAATCATGAGAGACCTAGATAAGGTGAATAGCAAAGGTCTTTTCCCTCAGATAGGGGAGTTCAAAATTAGAGAGCTTAAGTTTAAGGTGAGAGAGGGAAAATTTAAGAGACCTAAGGGGTGACGTTTTCGCACAGAGGGTGGTGCGTATATAGAATAAACTACCAGAGGAAGTGGTAAATGCAGAACAATTGTAACATTTAAAAGAGATTTGGACAGGTACATGAATAGGAAGGGTTTCGAGGGATGTGGGCCAAATGTGACTAGTTTAGTTCGGGAAACTTGGTCAGCATGAATGAGTTGGACCAAAAGTTCTGTTTCTGTGCTGTATGACTCTGTGTCTGTACTAATTCTATCTTATGTGATTTGATGATAAATTTTGTTTGATAATTTCTCTGTGAAGTATGCTGGAATGCTTTTTTACTGTGTTAAGGACACAACCTAATGGTAAATGGTTGATCCCATTTGAAATAATGAAAGGAACAGTTTATAGAATTTTTAAAGTATTATTCTCACTTGGTAAATGAATTGCAAAAAAAAGAAAGTAGCTTTCTTTTATTTAGCATCCTTCATGGCATCTGA